CGTTTTATGTTCATTTTTTTCACATTATTCAACTGATAGGTCTTCCCAATGAGTGGCTGCCTGAAGTGGATCATCTACATGTCGCCGTAGAATATCGCCGTAAACGGGCATCATGGCTTAAGCCGCCTATTCGTTAACAAATGGCAAAATTGTCTTGCTAACTTTGATGGAAATACGCAGTGTTCCTTCGAGATAAAAGTCGTGCATGGTTCTAGAACAGTGGTTTACATTGCATATTTAAACGCAAGTCCGATCTTGCGCTTAGGTCTCACTAAGTCTTCCATCCCTCCTAAGTAAACTTTTGGATACTACCAGAGTTCTTTTTTGGAAAAACAAAGAATCTCAGTTGTTTCAATCAGCCTTAAGGTGCTTTGTAAAGTCGAATGGATTAGTTACTACTTGGGGATTGATCAACGCCAAACGCATTATCTTTTATCCTTTGCTTTTCATGTATTAGCAGCGACCATTAGAAATACGAAATTCGCAACGGCCCTTATAAACCCGCTGTGATTTTAGTTCGGGTTATCGTTTCATTTTATCTAGCAAAGAGGAAACGCTTAAAAATAAATACGCCTTGCATCACTAAATCGTTCAAGGATGTGAACACAATTACGCGGCTGTTTACATAGGGTCACTTTATTGGAGGAATTCCGGACGAGTTTCACATTTGCACCTTCCATTTTTTGTGAGCCACTACAGCTGGTATTTTGAAAATATTTTGACTTATAATGCTTTAATAAAAGTCTCCAGTGCTGTTTTTTATTCCAGCTACAAAGATTTTTGCCTGCAGCACCTTCAGCTACGGAACGGTTTATCAGTACAGTACGGGCAGATGCGTGTCGTGAAATCCTAACCCAGGGCATATGTCGAGTAAGTAGTACTTGTAAATGATGAGCTTGCCGTCCTTGGTGATCACAGCCAGACGTCGCTCCCATTTCGACAACGATAGAGCCTTTTCTACATACCCACACATCGAGCCTGGCTCACTACATAATTGCTCCTGAAACAATAATTGCTTCTGACTTCTTACATTATTAGGAGGTTAAAGTAAGAGAACCATTCCACAAGCCACCAGTGTTCTGGTGGAAATACTCACCTGAGTTGGTAGATTCTCATTCAGAGAGCGTTTGAAACACAACATTAGCCTTACAGCTGGTAGGAAATGGAACCTATAAAGACACCCTATCGAAAAAGATTGAACTTATCACCGGTATCCATAAGCACTCCTTAACCGTGATAACACTTGCATTTTCGTGTTTTATACCTTGCGGTTGCTGTGATATCATGGCCATTACGACTTATCAGTTTAGTAAAGTTCCTCGTGGGAATTGTTATTCCTTATCGCATTTGGTTCAATCTCAACACAAAGAAGGCTTACTTCTGTCCGTGGCCAGAATCTCCTTTGCACTGAAGGCTGATTCTTCGGAATCTCTATTCTCTGTCGGTTCCTTCTAACAACTTCAGGAAATTCGTATGCTCTTCAATAGATGGTGCTATCACTAGACTGAAAGGTCCAGTTACATCGACTGACTTTTATCCACTAAGTATTAATGAAGTATGGCTTCATAGAATAGACATCAACATGGAAAGCAAAAATTCCGCATTTGAATTAATGTCGATGTTTTAGGAAAAATACCATTGGCTTCGGATTGTAGTGGACATAGCAAAACACCATCACACCTACAGTGCTGATCCCAGCACTTTCTCAAATCCGTTCCCTTTCCTCTCATACGTCGTCTACAAAGGTTTTTGAACATTTTTCTGGTTGTTTCGGCTATTGCTTGAGAATTCCTTCTTCTGTGAATGCCGTAGAAGGCTGATCGAGTCGATTCATAATTCAATGTTGGGTGTAGCCTGGCAGAGGCGTCTTCACGTGGACTGGAGGAGAGGGTTAGGATGGGAATCGAACCAGCACCTTCGCTTCCGATCGACGACGTCACCAACCGCTGTCCCGACGAGAATACTAGTAGTGAACGTCATTACGAAAGCTCTTTCTGTCTAGTTTATCACCGACGTTGAAGTAATCAATGAAATTTGTCGACAAACGTCATTTATTTCCGTGCGAAGCTTTGCTAGCATCGTTCAGCTTTATAGTCAGTTTTGGAAAGAAAAGGGCGAAAACAGGCGAGTGTAACCCGAAAATATCGGAAATAAGGAAGACCGGCAAGAATTGACGTCGTGAGGGCAGAATGGTAAGTTGCACGCATGACGTCGTCTAAAACACCACCCATGACAACGAATTGATATTGTTTCTAAGAAGTTCTCAGAAGGATTCTAGTGATCTTTCTGGCTACTCTAGAAGCTATCGTAACAGGGATTTTATGAATTTTCGTTGTGGTTACCCATCTAGGCGACTCCGTCAAATTCTGACAAGGCTTCCAGAGAAGAAACTTCTTTCCCAAAAAGGAAACTATGTGTAGGATGGAAATTATGGTGTGCAGGAGTTCTAAGGCTTGCTGTAATTCGTGGAGACTCATTCAATTACTCAAGAAATCAAGTATTTTTTGGCTTCTATATAGCAATGAGGCCAGGCATGGAAAGGATGAAATAGAAGTATGATATTGTTTTCGAGGGAAACAATGAATACACGGAAGGCAAACATGAAATCACCGGGTTTATCGTACTCCTATGTGTATGGTTTTGTATTGGTGGCAAAAGCAAACCCTGCAGAGCTAATCATTAGAATTCCCTAATGTAACACAAAAAAGATAAAAACTAATTCAAGAACGGCATTAGAATAGAAAGGATGGTTTTAAAATTGTTCGAGTGTAGAGCGAATAAGAGAAAACTTCTTGAAAAAATCCAAGAGTTTGATAGCTGACGATGAAGAAACTAAACCCAATTCAAAGTCCGGAGCAATTTTATTACTTGGGACAGACATCTATCTGTTCCCTATCTGACGTGAGTTGTTGGCTAACGACGAGTTACTGCATTTTGAAGAAAAATAAGAGCAATACGGTAGGTAGGGGTGAGTGTAGTGCAGTGGCTAGAGGCGTTCTGGTATACGCATGGCGTAGATCCAGCCTCACAGACTTGTCTAACTTTTGATCCTTCCGAGAACGGCAAAACAGGTAGCATATCACTCTGAGAAGACAGCAAGAGGTAAAGATCTCGCCGTTGATCAATCCCTCCCTGAGGGATGCACATCCATTCGACATCATTAGGTATCGTTGGTGGTCACCGAGTGCATATCTGGCCTTCACAATGACTCGCTGTGGCATACCGATGTAGCGAGTCGCTGCTGGTATTCTCCCAAACAAGTCTGATACTAATTTGCCGATCCCGGAGGGTTGGAAGGTTGGTGCGTCACGGACGCGGGGAATGATTCCACGTGTGTGTCGTAGTGACACCTCCAGCACTGCGCCACACGCGCCCCTGCTGAAAGGACAGCACCACTAATTCGATAAATCGGTAGCTCTCTTCATGTCCGTGTACACTCCAGATGTACATTCGATAACCTCAAGCAACACTCGATGCTGTCGATTGTATGGCAAATCCTTCAGAGACTGATCAACACCGAGAGCCTAATCCTTTTTAACGGCAGTTGGAGACCGGCAAAAGCCATTTTACGAATGGATGGGTATTTCTGGTTTGGTTAAGATACTTTTGCCTAGCTTCACATAAAATATTCACTGACAAAGCAAGGTGCTGCAATGAGACTTTACAAACTTTGAAACAGTTGAAAATCTCATAGGTAGATTAAAACTGCAGAATTCCTTCAACCATTAAAAAATAACCTAGACTTGCTTTCTCATTCTGAGAATTTTTCAAAAACTTGGAATACATTTTTCGCTCTGGTTTATTTTGCTGGGCAAGAAAACGTTTCCTACCGTGAACGTAGACGTTTTTGCCTATACAGTGTTTATTGCAATACAAGCTTAGCTTAAGCTGAGAAGTTTTTAAAAAATTTGAACATCTTCTTTAGCTAGGAGTCTGAAACACAACAACGATGTTCGTTCTTATATGGTACTTCGATATACGGTAAGATCTGCCTACTGTTGTTTCGTGAAAGCTATTTTGTTAGTTTTTGAATTTTAAGTTCAGCAATCATGTACGATAACCAACAAGATTTCAGAAATCCTCTTGACTGTTCACTGCCTCGTGGTGGCTGTGAGGTGTTCTGGGTGTCGGGCTGCGATGTACGGGAGGGAGATTCATTAACCTGTGAGGGTGTCCCAAGCTGAGAAGTAGACCGGTGTTGGTCCAGATAAGAGTAAACCAATACCAGGATCCGTCACCGACCTTGTACAAAACTAGTCGTATAGTGGAAAATCTTTCTTTGATCCACAAGTGCGACGACCGCCTATGGTGGTGACGACCTGGGGCAGACCGTTGCCAGGCCGAACTCGAGATTCCAGGGAACCCCAATATGAAATCTCCGAAAAACTGGAGATTATGCTGGTTCCCGCACAACCAGTGAAGACGGGCCATTCAAGTATTAAATAAGTTCAGAAATCGTTAATTTTGCCGTCCATTTCTACCTCGTCGTTAATCTTTGTCTTCCCAAGACCGACCTTCTATAAATCTGGGCAATGAATACAAATGTGCGTTTTTTCTTTTTCGGTAATGTCGAGGATGTTATTTTGCACATATTTATTTTGTACACATGGAACGCGTACAACACAACGGTAGCTGAGCTTTCAGTGCGAATTTGAAACAAAGTCGGGCTGTGCTGGCAGCTGACTACTTCAGAAAAGAAATCGAATAATGTTTCGTTGCGAAAAAGTGTTTCACAGACCTTTGCCCTCACGAAATAGGTGGACCACATACAGAATTCCAACACCACCCTACATGTGTCCAGAATTTCTAGGTCTCCTATTTTTTATTAAAGCGACAATTTTTTCAAACTTAGCCAAGAGATGAATGGGTGAGTCACCTCGAAGGATAGCGCTGGAGATCATGTTGGTGGGACCCGCATGAGAGACAGCACTTTCGTAGAGTTTTTTGACGGTTCGGATAAAAACTATCAGAACCTGAAACAACTGTGCATCATATCGCAATATATGCAAACTGGAACTGGTTGGATTACATCATTGTTAAAGGGCGTGGAAAAAGTGAGGGCCGAATATGTAACTAACCAAGTCTCGAAAATGGAAAAACGGTAAAGTGTGGGAATGGGTTGTCTCTAATCATACGGAGACGGTCTTTACTAATAACTACAATCCTATTAGAAATTATTTCACTGGTGTTAAGTGACAATTCGAGAACGATATGAAACACTGACCATAAAACATAGCCATGTGAAGGGAGAGATGGCCGCTTCACTGAAACTTGGAACATTTCGCACAACCAAATACTTAATTGAACATTTAACCTTTAAAGTTCTATGTAAGTAGAAATGTCAAAGATTACCTCGAAGAATCTGACGAGTCAACTCCATCCGTCGCTCCATGAAAAAGGGAAAGTCGTTTTTTCAAGAACGTCTACTTGATGGTTCATTTTTGGAAGGTGACGACGGAGCATCTTTCACAACTGATAACAACGAACATATTGGAGCGAAGCGAAATTCACCTCCACATTCTCCCATCTCCATCTTCTTCACATTTTTTCCTTTATCTCCAAATGTCTTTTTGCTTTTATGGGAACAACCAAGTACATTTTCAAATATTCGTAATAACCGCCCCAAGCAAAGAGATTGCACATCCAAGCTGCTAACAACCACAGTCGTTGTTCAGTTCAGCAGCTAGAACATGACTACAACGGTTTCTGAGCCGAGAGTGTTTGCCTAAGACATCTTTTAATCTTGCCAGAGTTTTTCACAGCACGAACGAGCCTGACTTTGAGTTTTTCAACAGCGACAGGAAGTGCATCCACAGGATTGAACTGGACAGGGCATAGTAACGTTTGTTCTTCGTTCGATGTGGCAGCTTCGCCTTCATGTCGAACCAGATCTTCCTCAGTGTGCCGTGTCCTCAAATTAACCATACTTACTCGGTGATGTTCTTTTATACAGGATGCTGACGGTTGATAGGTGTAATAGTCCTGTGACAGTAACCTGTTTTTCCCATACAATCACTCCTGCAGAAGACGATATCATTTTCAGCTGACAAAGAGCAATAACAATATTTCAAAACCGACTTTCCTTTAATCTTGCTATTCAACCACCAGAATCCTGCATAAAAGGACATCATCAAGTGAGTGTTCCTCATTCGAGAGGTGGTCGGCTGAAGAAGATACAACTCGCTACATAGGCTGCGAAGACGCCACATTGAGACGAGGGACAACCGTGGTCTGTTGACTCGGATCGTCGGCTCTGATGAGGACCAGCACGTCGAAACCTTAGTCCGAAACAGATATCCATATCAACCCCGTGCAGGCTCATCAAACAAGGAATAAATGTTGGTTAGTAATGCCGAGGTTAAGGAAAAGTCTGTTTTAAAATATTATTAGTGTAATATCTGCAATACAATGTCAGCAACAACCGCCCTGTGTAAAAGGGCGTCTCATGGTGGAGTATGGCTCATTAGAGCAAAATGCTCTACTGAGGAAGATCCGCCTCGATGCGCAACGAAGATGCCACCTCGACAATTCGATCCATCGACTCGGACCATCGGTCTTGATGAAGGCGAAACCGTC